GTCAAAAACATAAAACACGCCACTGCGCAACATTAGGGTCATAAAATCTGACCTTGTCTCCTGTTTGCAGTATGCAGGCCAGGCTGCTCTCGCACTTAGTTATCAGATCAACAAGTGCTGATTTAATATCTTGGAGACGGACCACTTTCATGTTTTGACTTGGGAAACCGTTTCTCTGCATTAGATAAAGCATATAAAGAAAAATTCAGAGAGAACATGTAGCTCAGGTCAACAAAGATAACGCTACAGTACATGCCGTCTATTCATGGTTCACCTTTAACCGCTGTAACATTTCAAAAATAAATGTGCTGTAATTTAAAGAAGTATTTCTATGAAAGGGTACACCAGACCTATGAAATATGTTCTGGTCAAGCTCGGACACTTCAAATATATTTGGATCAATATCACTGTAGGGTGCCGTTTGGTGTCCTGTACATAAATAACTCATTTGCCATGATAACGTAACATAAAAATGACTATGAAAGGGTGTGTTGTATATGGTTATTACAAAATAATAATTAATATGTCTTTATGTCTTCATGTATCTATGGAAAAAGTGAGGTTAGTTTTTATATTCTTAACAAAAGCATTACTTTGCTCTTTAGATACATTTTTAAATTTTTTGTTAGTTTTGTATAAGAGGATGCTTGTTATTTTGCCATATCCCATGCACTGCTCATTACATTTGAATGAGAGTAGAATATAGTAAAAATCATAAAATTATTATTTTTTTATTTTCTATTAATATTTTGTTACATTTTTGTTAAACTCAATTTGAGTGTATTGATCATTTGGTAGAATGCAAAAAAAAAAAAGTAAAGTAAAAAAAGAGAATGAAAAAAATCAGCAGGATTCCTAACAGGATGGAAAAATGTACAGGATTCATATCGGGATGAATATGACAGGATGGAAATAAAAAGGAAACAAAAAGAACCTAACATAAGGTAGAAAGAAAGAAAGAAAGAAAGAAAGAAAGAAAGAAAGAAAGAAAGAAAGAAAGAAAAGAAAGTAATTGTACCAGGATGGAAATAAAAATGAACAGGATTCCTATCAAGATGGAATGTAACAGAATGGAAATAAAATGTAATGTTTGCAAATCAAATGTTCATAAATGAATGTAACAAGATGGAAAACAACAAAATTATGAACATGAAAGAAATGAAGAAATTAACAGGATTCCTAACAAGATGGAATGTAACAGGATGGAAATAAAGAAATTAACAAGATTATTATCATGACAGAAATAAAGAGTTTACCAGAATTCCAGAATACAAAGCTAGCCATTCCTCAATGAAAGTTGAGTATAATTATTTTTTTTTTTTGCTATCTTTTGAAATGTTGTCATTATCACACCAATTACTGCAATTTTATAAAACAGAGTGGAAGGTTTAGGAGTGAGACAAAGAGTAATTTCATAATACATATAACATAAATCAATTACTAATACTTCCCTATGTTAGTGACGTTGTTTTCCCATTAAAAATGATGTCACATCCTGGTCTGGAGGATGATGTCACTAAGGACCTGGCTTTTATTACAAAGAATAATTGAAATAACAGGGTGGAAAGTGATACTGAGGACACTGGGGGGGGTGATTCATAATTAAATAGTATTTCAAAGAAATACTCTATTATTATTATTTTACATATATTATATATATATATTATATTATTATTATTCAATATAAGACAAATATGATGGGGATATGTTATATTCTGGGCCATTTCATCTATCTTCTAAAGGGGGAGAGGCTGACTAAGTTCTATTAAAGAAAAGGGAGTCAGAGTTGGATTTTAGGGGGGCTACAGGGATACCACAGCCCAAATTCTGACAAAACTAATACAGACTGGTTGCGAAGGAGTAGGAAAGCAAAAAAAAGAGTGGGAAGATGAGAACAAGTGAGAGAACCAGAAATCAGAGGAAAAAGATGAAGAAAGTGATAGATTCCTTGAGAGAGACGGATGGATGGTGTACAGAAGACGGGTAACAGGGGACTTTGAGATTAAAAGAAAACAAAAGGAAATAGAGAGATGTTGTTATCAGCGATTATACGGGACACTTTCTGCACGCGATCCAAAATACACCATTATGTTACAGCATGCGTGGGAAAACTCAACAAAAAACTTTTTTTTGTAATGTCCTCACCCCTGCTCTAAAGATACGGATAATTTGACGAAAACCCATAGCAGTGGGAGAGGATGAGTTAGCAACTATGTACCATTGCCATAACAAAGAGCCCAGCGGTGTCTGGCTGGAGGCTTTAAAAGTCCAGACTGCTACAATCCGGGATATTCCATCCATGATTTCAGAACGGGGGAGAGGCTGACTTGATCCCATTAGAGACGAGGGAGTCAGAGTAGGAGTTTTGGGGGGCTCTAGAGAGAATATGTGGTGATCTCACAAATCAAAACATGGGTCTCATGACTCTCACTATGGTGTTCTGGTCAACTGAAGCAAATCACATCAATATAAAACAAACATAGCAACTGAATGTATTGCTGCTTGCTTCTAATCACTCCCACTCATTAGATTGCAATCATTAAACCACAATGCATGTGATGACTGTTCAGTGACTGAACACTAAATCAACACCGACACTTAACTTGCAATAATGTGTGTGGCAATAATGGCTTTGTTTGGAACAGATCTGCTTTGAATACTGTAGTATGGGCCGTTGTCAGGAAACTAAACTTGTGTGCCAAGTATCCTCATAACTTACTAGGATAGAGAATCTAATCATTTTTGTTTTGTTTGTAAAGCAAAATAAGTGTTAAAATAATTTTTTGTTGTTAGTTTGTTATGTTAAATGTTAGGGTTTTTTCCCCTTAAATAGCAACCAATTTGTGCAGTCACATTAATCACTTTTACACACACACACACACACACAAAATAAAAAAATGTAAAAAAAAAAATGAACTTTGCTTAACCTGAAATTAAGTGTTTCTTTTTTTCCATTATTTTATTCTAAAACAATGTTCAACCCTGTTATGCTGTGACATTTTAGTTTTAAAATGTTCTTGGCTTTTGCTTTTTAAAGCTATTATCACATATTTATTATTTGGGGTAATCATTTAAGAATCAGCTAATAAAAACACTTATCTGTTGACCACTACTCTGAATTTTTAAAATATTTTTATTTTTTCATAATTTTATTTAAAAAAAAAAACCACTGTTCAACCCTTTTTTACTGTGATATTTTAGTTTTGAAATGTTCTTGACACTGTATTTGAGAGATTGGCATAATTTTTGACCTCGTGGGGTAGGTTTAAAAAGGGGTAGGTTTCTTTTACGTCTGCATTCTCGTACATCTGTGGTTCATTTTGGTTAGGTTTATATTGGACCTGTCGAGCTCAAAAATTCAACTCTGTTGTGGAAAAAAAATTTGAAAAATTGTTGCTGGAAAAATATTGTCCTTATTTCACATGGCACAAGAATAATGGCTTTATTAAACATTTTGCAAAGATCTTCAACCCCACAATATTTTGAATGTAACAGGGTTGACAGCTTTAAAGTTAGAGTTTGTAACAATAAATACCTACTGGTTCTCTGTAAAGCTATAAAACATATTTCTAATTTGGGTTAATAATTTAAGAATCAGCAGTTGAAAACAGCTGTTCAACCCTGTTATTCTGTGTCATTTAAGATAAAAAAAAATGTTCTTGACATTATATTCGAGAGATTGGCATCTTTTTTTTTTTTTTTTTTACATCTGTATTTCATTTTGGTTACGCTTATATTGGACCTGTCAAGCTCAAAAGTTCAATTCTGCGGTGGAAAACAAATTATAGTGATCAACTTTTTGCTGGAAAAATATTGTTCTCCCCCCCCCCACAATAATTTTAATATAACAGGGTTGATGCAAAACATGTTTTGAAAGAACAATAGCATTTTGTTTTAAATTATAATTTCAAAGAACCCTGAAACTGAGTGAGAATTTACTCAGTTATCTATTTTCAAGTTATAGGCCCATGTCTATTAATTTCAAAGCTCCTGTGACAAGGTTGAAAAATTGACAGCTTAAAGGTTAGAGTTCGTAATAATAAATAACTTGACAGCTTAAAGGTTAAAGTTCGTGATAATAACTACTATCACATATTTATCATTTGAGGTAATAATTTAAGAATCAGCTATTGAAAACCCCTTATTTATTGACCACCAATCAGAATTTTTAAGAATTTTAAATTTCAACAATTTTTTTAATCTAATTCAACTTATTTTGAAATCAAATGAGTCAAGAAGATGTATAAAAACAACAACAACTGTGACTGCTTCCAGTTTCATTTATCCCACTGAAAATAGATAAGCAATTCAGACACATTGCATTGTGGGACATTTGTAGTGTACTTGTGTTGTAGGTCATTCTGATTTTTTTTTTCCTCCGGTAAATTTGCATACTGTCCCAGTTTACTGCACGCTGAAAAATTAGTATGAGTAGTAAGGAATGGCATTCCAAATACCCATAATCTCGTCTCACACCCACAATTTGTGTCATCAAACACTCACACCTGCCAAAAAACTGGTTCGTATTAAGGTGTGAAACATAAATCACATCTTTGCCATATTTCACAGGAAATCAAGTAATTTCAATAGAAATTGTGTGATTGAGAGTTTCGCGTGAGGGTGTAAAGATTTTCCCGCACAGATTTCACTCCTGTTCAAGTTGGTCATGCAAATTTGTTACGATGTCCAACAGAAAGCTGCTTGGTTTGAAAGTGCCGTCTGTGTGAGCTATGCTTCAAACCATCAGTACACTATTGACAATGACTTTTTTGCTGAAATTTTACTAATGTTGTCTGGCAGACTGTCATTTGTTACTCAAGACGCTGTATTTCAAAACAAAGGTCATTTATTCAGTTTGAACAAATCCTTCATACACAAATATATGTGTATATA